TGTAGTGAGTCACGTGAGGTACGTGTCACTTGTTGTATGACAAATATATGGATATATATTTATGCATACTTTTCACGAGTTCTTCATCTTTCTGACTGTGTAATGCCGTGCATTGAATTTAAAGGAATGCGAACAAGAGACGTTATTACCTTTGACCCATCAAATGAATGGAATCATTTATTTTCAGAATCAAAGTTTAACATCAAACATTTACATTAATTTGGCAAAATATGAAAATAATAACAGACAGTTTCACAAATAATGAACTTCAAATCACTCGGCGGTGATTTGAGGACTTTGCTTCAGATATTTCTAAAAATATCTGCACTGATTTATGAGAGAGAGGTGAGTTTAAGAGTAAATTGAGATTTATCTTACAGAGGAAATATGTGAGGGAAGTTTAATCTGTTTAACCAGAAATTGCACGCTCCGTCCGATCTCAGCTTCTCACGGTACACTTGGTCAAAATAGAACCATCTACCTGTTGATGATGAATCAGCGTCGGAGTAGTTCCTTTCTGACTCGTTTCAGCGTCTCCGTCGAGAACTACCAAACCTTCAGAGAGTCGTGCGTAGTTAGCTCAAAACAGAATTATAATCCCAAAAACCTCTGGATTCTTCATTGCTCTCTTGGACTCTTCATTGCTCTGAAACTTTCAGAACCGGCTGCACTCTCAATCTCAATCTCAATCCAACATGAACTGGGAAGTTGCCACATTTTATTTGGGTCGACTTCCTGTTCAATTTAGAGCTTTCTGATTCGTGGAAGGACCAGAAAGAGGAGTGGTTTTGACGTAAGGTGTTTATCAACAGTCGAGGTCAGAGAATGAAATTTGTTTTCACATACAGAAAAGATTATTGCAGCAACAGCAGACTTCGTGGAGTCAACTCTTGGTAATCTTCTGAAAAAGTTTAAACATGACATTTTTCTCGGTAAACATTTTAGTTGACCGAAAACCAACCTTTCACATACTTACGACTTGACTCATTTCAGACAGAAAATCAAGGAATGCTTATTCAGGTGATTTCTTCTTGGAATGAGGAATAAAAATCATTACTTACTGTTTATGTAAAATAAAGATGAGTAGTTCTTTTCAACCTATAAGCATTGAGTGAACTAACACAATTTGATTATCAAAACATTTGTAAGGCAGTAATGATTATAAAGAATTGTCTTTTCTGCTTGATTAATTCAAGAAAGAAAGTCATCAGATGGCCCAGACTTATTCAGATCAATGAAAATAACAGTCTCTGTCCATCTGGTAGATTTGAGGTCATCTGGTTCACTACAATACTATGTACATGACCTTAGTAAAAGTACACAGTGTACTGTGTACATGACCTTAGTAAAAGTACACAGTGTACTGTGTACATGACCTTAGTAAAAGTATACAGTATACTGTGTACATGACCTTAATAAAAGTACACAGTACACTGTGTACATGACCTTAATAAAAGTACACAGTACACTGTGTACATGACCTTAGTAAAAGTACACAGTACACTGTGTACATGACCTTAGTAAAAGTACAGTATACTGTGTACATGACCTTAGTAAAAGTACAGTATATTGTTTTGTTTATGAAATTTTGAAGATTGGAGTTTTAAGATGCAAGAATCCATTTTGGTTTGGCTGCTGTTCACTTGTCAGACGTGAACTCTGTTGCTCCAAATTGGAGATATCCAAAAAGCTATCTACAACCTGTGGATATTAATTTTGGGAATTTTAAAGAGAAACTAGCTTCAACATGACACATTTTCACATAACGTCTGCATTCCATTTTATCTCTCTCTTTAAAAAAAAAAAAAATAATTCTCCTTATTGCAGGTGATCACGCATCCAGATTGTGTTTTACTGTTAATCTTATTTGCTGTTTGTCTTGAGGTCTGAAGGACAAGTTACAGTATGTCGACTGAGAATTTTTTATAACTAATTTGTGCATTTGTATTTTATTTTCCAGTCCAAGGAGTTTTTGAAGAAGAACGCTGTTGTCACAAGTGGCTTTGTTGGAGGATTCCTGCTTGGCCTGGCGTCTTAGGGTTTGCCAAAAGAGCTGTCTAGTTTGTGTTAAATGCTATAAAAGCTTATTGTACCCACGTGAGGAGTTTCTTTCATCTTTTTTTTTTTAGTTGTGGCACGAAGTAGTCATTAATTTCATTTCAGCTTATAGTTCTCATGAACCTGCATGTGTTTTTATCTGTACTGTAAAACTGTACTACTATGTGGTGGGTTCTGTTAATGTGGAATTTGTTTAATCAGAATCACCACCTTTAAACTATTTGCAGGTTAATTCATGCAGATTCTGTTGAATGACTAAAGAACACAAAGGTCAATTGAATTAAGTTTTTTTTCTTCATATTACTGGTTTTGTTTGAGCACATGCACTCCTTTTAAAGCCAAATCTAGGCAGAACATTTAAATTCACCTTGATATGTCATCGGCCTCATCAAGCCAGTGTTATCATTTTCAATTTTGACGTATATTTTTATGCAAAAAATTGAACGTTACTATTGAGTGATAATGGAAGTGAGAATTGTGATGCTTTCTTCAGAGGTGCTAAATAGAAAGTATTTGTCTCTCCTGCATCTCATTGTTCATGTATTTTATTGAGCGGTAAATTGATGCTTTGCGTACCAAAAGACTGTGTTTGCTTTATCTGGAGGTAAATAAACATGAAGGAATGGATTTAGTGTCTTGTATATGTTTTTAACCATGTCCATGGGTCTTTGATGTGTTTTGAGTTAGGCTTTTATTATCTATGCTTGTGTTTTTCGACACAACCCCACCCCCCAAAATGTCTCCCTTTTTTTATCGGTTGCCTCTAGCAACCAGGGGCGATTCTAGTATTTGACTTTAGGGGTGCTTAGCCCTGGCAACTGCCCAGGGGCCCATGATCTCTAAGGGGCCCAGGGCAGTGAGGGCACAAGCAAAGTATCTGGTTATCTCCTGCTTTATTGGAGCCCTGCGCTGCATTTGTGCAGCCCCGCCTCCTCCCAGTGCAGCTGCTGCAGCTCTCAGGTTTTTTTCTTTTTTCAGTCGGATCCTTGACGTGCGACCTGTCAATCAACTCAGAAGGCGTGTCAGTAACTGACCAATCAACAACCTCAATTTGTCCCGAAGGTAAACGCCCCTTACCTGCTGACAAGCTCATCAGTTTTTTTTCTTGAGAAACTTCTTGTTTTAATTAAAACAATAAGTTTGTATCTGTTGTGAGATGATTCTAGCAGTTTTGCAGATTTTTAATCTACCTAATGAAGAATATTATGACTTAAAATCGTTCATCAAACAGGAAGGAGGGCTTATTATCTCTCCTCTTACTACAGTGAATGTGGTACTTTGCCATAAGGACGACTATATTTATGGCATCAGAGAAAGCTGAGCTCAAGTTATCCACATAAAGTAAAATGTTACCAGCATGAAAATAAGAAATGTTAAGTTTGAGATTAATCCAGTTTCTAATGTCTGACCAAACACTTTGTATTGACATGAAAAAAAATTACTCGAGGGATTCATCTTGTGATTTACAAAAGGCACTCAAATTTAAATCTTCTTTCAAGAAACATGGCTACAGGATGTATCTTATTGATTATTTAAAATGATCCTCCTTCGCTTTAGGAGATTTAGGCCATTTGATAAATGTAGAATGAACAGAAATCGTTCTGTCCTGATGCATGCTCAATAATCCAGGTAGAAAAATCTAAAAAAGTTAAATCTGGTCCTCTGGACATTCAAAAAAAACAAAACAAAGCAAATCAACAAAAAAATGTAGAAACGTTTCGTCTCTCATCCGTTCACATCCTGGACAGAGAGGAACGATGGTTTGAGAGAGGAGTAAAGGAGGCCATCTTTGTGAAAAGAAATCGTCCATCGTTAAACAGGGGTGGAGGCCTCCGGGTTCAACTGTCCTCCTCTTACAATGCTGTGATTGCTAGTATCACTCAGCCCTCTGTGAACAGTAAACAGCCATCAGTGTGCTAATGATCCATTGTTAGGCTGATGGTCCTTCTTGAGCATGTGATCAGCTGGTTTTGGTTGTCAGCAGCAAAACTGGTTGATCCACTCTGAGACGGTGCTATTTAAGAGACTGAGCTGAAAACAGCTCCTCAGACTGAGGAAGTCTCTCGGACGAGAGACGAAACGTTTCTACATTTTTTTGTTGATTTGCTTTGTTTTGTTTTTTTGAATGTCCAGAGGACCAGATTTAACTTTTTTTAGAGAAATCGTTCTGGTTTTATGAGTTATACTGGGAGTTTTCTTGAATCTTTGTTATAGTCAGTAAATCCTTTGTTCCAAACATTCATTGATAATCTTACTACATTTGAAGTCAACTAAGTTACAGTCATTTAGTTTTAATGTGGGCATCAAATTGTCACCTTAGAATATATAATATTTTTAATTAATTGAATCAGCTGTTGGTCAGGTTACTTCTTGTTGTGCCATTAGCTCTAAAATAGTTACTGAATCAAGTGTTTACTTCCTTCCATCCGTGGGGGTAGCAGCCTAAGTGGGGAGGCCCAGACTTCCCTCTCCCCAGCCACATGGGCCAGCTCCTCCAGGGGAATCCCAAGGCGTTCCAAGTGTTTACTTATGTAGGTAAAACTAGATGTTAACCATTAAAATACACCAGAATGCAGGAAATGGCATCTACTTTATTCAAAATTTTCTGGGGGAGGACTCCCAGACCCCCCCCCATCAGCATGTCCCCCCCCCCCCCCCCCCACACACACACACATTATAAATGCTTCTGACACTTACTGGCCAACACATTACTGAACAAGTACACATATGGTATCATGTGGTGTTCAAAATGTGTTCAATATAATTCAGTCTTGATGATTAGTGTCAATGAGCATTTGGAGTTTTATACATAAAAATACACTTGATAGTTAGAATTTTAAGTATATTTACTGTATATTATGGTAATTTATTCTGTATTTTGCCAGATTATGGTGATTCTGGGGTCGTGATGATGGGGCCCTTGAAGATTGTTGCCCAGGGTACAGCGAAGTGTTAATCTGGCCCTGCCCCCACCCCCCTTCAGTGCTGACAATGGCTCTTGGCTTGAACAACGTGGTGGCCATATACGCTCAATAATCAAGTTATTCTGAATTGTCAGTTAAATTTAGTTTATTTTCAATTAAACAAATTATACAACAATATTATACTTGGTCATTTATTTATTGGGGGGAAATGATCCAATATTAAATGTTTGTGAGTGGCAAAAAATTCTGGTTCAGATACTGACTGGTTGCAATTTCGTCAGCTATGGAATCATTGTACAGCTCCCATTAAAGCTGCTAAACGTCATTACTTTTTATCTCAGACCTCCAAAGATCTAAATTACCCTAAAATGTTCGTAAAACTATCAAATCGCTTTCTGGCAGCTCCCATTCATCTGACCTGCCACTACAATCTCTTGTTAACTCTTCCTGTGACAAGCATGAGATTCTGAATTGTTTCAATAGACATTTTGTTGCCTCTAGCTCTTTGTTTGCCACAATTACTAATGAAAAAGCAACTCCTTCAAGCCAAGCTTATACAAATTTATCCTATAAGTCAATCCTCCATAAACCGCACCTTATCATTTTCACAGTTTTCTGTTAGTGAGGTTAATAAAATTTTAAAAGGTCTGGATTCTACAAAATCTGCAGGCCCTGAAGACCCACCTCCTTACTTATTAAGGCTAGCTGCACAAATCATAGCAGAACCGGTGTCTCACATCGTTAATCTGTCCATAAATCAAGATACCATTCCAAACACTTGAAAAACGGCTTTTGTTTTACCTTTACTGATGGGAGGTGACCCCACTATACTGACCGATTATTGACCAATCTAAATTCTGTATTGCTAAAGTTTTAGAAAAAATGATAAATAGTCAAGTCAAGTATTTGTATTATTTCAATATCTTGTCTTCCCATCAATCTGGTTTCAGGAAACAACACAGCACAATTCTTCCACCTGCATAATATCACTAAAATGAGAAACATCTTATCTAAAAATGATGCAGAAAAACTGATCCATGCATTTGTCATGTCTAGACTGGACTATTGCAATGGTTTATTTTCTGGATGTCCAAATACTTCTTTAAAACGTCTTCAGTTGATCCAAAATGCTGCTGCCAGAGTCTTAACTGGAGTTAATGGGAGAGATCATATCTCTCCAGTTTTTGATTCTCTCCACTGGCTCCCTGTCAAGTCCAGAATTGAATTCAAAATCCTACTTATAACCTACAAAGATTTTAAACTGTGTTGATAGGCCAAGTAAAACCAGAGTTGTGATCATCAAACCTCAAGCGCGTTACAGCACGAAGCTGCAGCCCCACCACCGCTAAACCCACAAACAACGTCCCCCCTCCTTTCTGACGGAGGCTCCCAAGTTGTTTTTCAAGCACCAAATAATCTACAGGAAAAATAAAAAGACGCAGAAGTTGAATGGAGTTCAGTGCACGATAACGTCAGCGAGAGTGGGGGTGATGAAGAGGATGATCGTTTGTTTTAGAAGAAGAAGGGTAGACCGAGCCCAGGTCAGACTGTGCAGAGGACCAGAACCAAGCATCAGTTCTGAGCTCTGGAGAACGGAGGAGGATGTGGATATTGACCCAGAAGGCAGACTAATGGAGGAAAATACACTTTTTAAAATTTATAGTAAAATAAATATTTTGTCATTTACAAAAATGTAGAAGTTTTAAACAAAAAAAAACCTTTAAAGCTGTAGTGTGGTGTCATGGTCCAGGTTAGCTGTACCTTCACTACAATATAATTTAAATAACAGGTTCTCTCTTTTCTGAGCTAATTACAGCCATGTGACAGAAGTAACTGTGCGTAGATGGTTTAATCAGTGACATGAGACGTTAATTTTCTTTGACCCATCAAAATAAATGTCATTTATTGAACAGAATCAAATTTAACATGAAAACATTGTACAGTTGATTACCTGAGCTGGTTCTGATTAATAAAACTTGGCACGTTTTACTTAATAAAAACAACAGACATTTCTGAAGGCATCTAGATTAAAACTGTCTTATTCAAATAAGATAATGTCTGTGGTTAGAGAAAACTGGTTTTTGACCTGCATGCACTCAGCTGGGAGCTGCAAGATAAAGAATAAATATAAATTTATTGTGAAATAATTCTTTATTAGATTACTGTATTGTAAATGTATGCTATCTAGAACTGATTCACAGCTGCTGCTGATTATGACTTCATAATTATTTTCATGCCTATGATTCTGGTAAGCAGCATCGCATCAGTTAAATGTGAAGGGGACATGTCCCCCTCACATTAAAAAAAATATTTGTTTGGACCCCCCCACACATTTACCATGAAATATTAGTTCACCCGGTGCTGTTTGCATTTCTTTGTGAATAAATCCATTCCACTTGATTAATAGAAGAATACTCAAAGCACTGAAGTCCACTCTGGGTTTTTAACAACTCTCCACACTGCATGCAGTGTTTCCCCAGGCTACTTGTCTTGGCAGGGGACACTCATCTCTCAGGAATTTTTTGTGGACAGGGTGTGGTGAGGAGGGGAGACGCTTCTGTGTGGCACGCTATCTTAGCGCTACGTTAGTGCCGGCAGTTGTCAACCGGGGTGGGGGTTTTAATCTTAAAACCCCCACCCCGGGGAACTGTTGGCTTCTGGGAAATGTAGTCCTTATGTGCGGTGATACAGTTTAGGCTTACA